GACTTGGTCCATATTGTTGAGCTCATGATCAGCATTTAAATATATATTATTGATATTCTTTGCTCCACTAGCAGCAGCAACACCTTTATTGACCTCACACAATATCACATATGATCTCATTTGGATCATGGATCACACCCATGGTGTGCTTACCAATCCATTCTTACTTACAATTAAAACCAAATAATCTAAATTAAGGTTTACAGCTATCTGCTGTCAAAATCTTGGCCGCATACAAGGTTCACCTGTGATGACTTCAAGTTATTCATAATCGTTTAATTAAGGATTAGTGGGTATGCATAAGCTAGGTGACTCAGTAATTTTCGGTTACAGAAAAATAGGTTTACTTATTCTAAAGAACGTGCTAATTACTAGCATCAAGAATCTTTTAGGAACATAATTAGGGACTTAAAAGCCTAATCGCGCATCCCATGAACAAAATCTTAATCAATTAAGCATCTTGTTGGTCTACCGGTTGAATTAGATAGCTAGATGGGATTTTTGGTTGTAACTGGTTCTCATGGCATGCATATTTGTAAGGTTGTGCTTGTATTACAAAACGGAGCTTTCAAAAAAGCTGATCGAAGGAAACATTTGGGGTACTGTTAGATTACAGTTTCAATGGGATGGTGCCTACGACATGGCCAAGTCCATCCGATGGCATGGGGTACAAATAGAGTTCTTACAAGCTTATGACTGTTTCTTTTTGAAAGTTTCTTGAATGGGGCCAATCTTGTCTCATAAAGTTTGCCAAGAATGATAAAGTTCATTTTTGAAAGGTCATTTTACCATACAATCACAAAGAAGTTGATGTTGTACTTGCCATTCAATGGCCACACACAAGTTGGAATCATGGACTTTTAACATCCACTAAAATGAATAAGTTTGATCCCTATACCTTAATTAAACTAGGGTTTTTATGGTGGAATGTGAGTATATATATATATATATATACACACACATGTATATATATACTTGAGATTATGTAAGACCAAAGGTTTTTCGTGAGACCCGTAAGACTAATTCTCAACCCTTGGATAAAATGATGAATTAAGTAAATGTAAAATCAATACATGATTCGTGAGACGGGATAAGAACAAAGAATTTGAGGAGGGGAGATTTTTAATTATTTGTTTGCTTAACATTCCACTGAAAGAATCCAATTTGTTATTAATTATCACTACAACAAAATTGGCTTTATGAGACCTAAAATATTTTCAAAACGTCTTAAAAAACTTGTTAAAACACTTAATGACGTCCTATATGTAAACATATTGTAACACTTTTGGATATGACATTATTTGGTTTGATTCTATAAACTTAAGTCATATAAAATATTTTATTAGAATGTTTAGATATTTTAGGGATTTTATAAAACTGTTTTTTTGTAGTGTACAAATACTTTTTAGATCAGTATTCCTACACATATCATATACGACTGAAGAACGAGTCTCTTTCAATGTTTAAGAATGGAAATAAAGATAACTAAAAGTCGAAAATAAACTCCCCCTTGAGAAGAAAAAGAACCAAAAGTTAATTAAATAATTAAACTAAAATGTTGTACAAATACAAAAGTTATTAAACTTTCTAATTTTGAATGATTAAGTCTATAAACTGTTATTTAAATGAAAAAACTACTAAAATTTTCTCATGTTAAATGATCAAGTATCTAAATGTTTTATATCAACAAAATAAACTATCAACCTTTTAAAAATTAGTTACTTACATCATTTTAACATAAAAACATTACATGTAACTAATTTAAAAAAAATCTTAAAGTAAAAAATAAACCTAAATCAGTTTTATAATTCTCAAACCACACATCTTTCAAACCCCACGTAAACACCAGTACCAGTCCCCCATGCAAGTCCTCGTCACCCCATCTTTGTTTGTTCTCCATGCCGCCTATCATGCTATTTGCCATTGCCATCAATCTCCCTATTTTTGATTTGTTTTTTATCTTTTAATTTTCCCTCTTTTAATAAATAAAAACATATCAAAAAGAAGAAGATCGATGACAGGGACTAACAACGTGATAGATGATACGAAGAATGGACAACGATGGGGCGACATGAAGTTGCAATGGGGAGTGATATCGTTGTTCACAAGGGGTTTGGAGGGCGTGTAGTTTAGGAATGGTAAAACTGATTTATGTCTCTTTCTTGCTTTAAGACTTTTGTAGTCGGTTACATGTAGTTTTTTTTGTTAAAAAGATGTAGGTAACCAATTTTTAAGAGTTTGGTGGTTTTTTGAAACAACAACTAGTTTTCATTAAAAGCTAGCAAGCAATTAGCAAAAACAGAACATTATAACGACCTAAAATAATCAATAGGATGGAACCTCCACAATAACGGATCTCTTACACTCCTCTTGCACCTAGCCAAAACCCAACTATAAGACTTTTCCACAATTTGATCCATTATGGAATCCTTACGAGGGGAAATACAATTAAAAATACGTCTATTTCTGAAACATTACAATATGTAGCACCCAATGAAAAACAGAGCTTCCAAAGTTGTCATAGCAGCCCCATGTTGGTTTATAGATCTGGTGTTGTTGATCATGTCTTCCATCGACTTGTAAGCAGGAAAGTGGAAAGACCACCATCGCTCAAAAAACCGCCAAACCTCCAAAGCCACTTCGCAGTCGAACATCATATGCCTAGAGGTTTTGATATCTGACCCACATATACCTGATGTGATGTTGAATCAATATCTATCTTCCTCTTCAGTAAGTTATCTCGGGTTGGAATTCTATCAAGCATAAACCACCACATAAAGATGTTGACTCTAGCGTGATTCATAGAGTTCCATTCTATCTCTTTTTCCCCGAGCCCCAAGAATGCTTTCTCAAAGGAACTCATTGAAAATAACCCATTGGCATTTAGAGACCAAGACCATCTGTCGAGATTCTGGGACAGAGAACGGTCCCCGATAACCTCCCTCAATTGAGTGAGATCCTCCGATTCTCTACTATCCTGGATAGGTCTTTGCCAAGATAAAGAGTTTTCATCTGAGTCCTATCTGCTACGATTGTTTGTCTCTCATTTTCTAGAGCGAGAAGTCTAGGAAAATGAGAGGAGAATGGACATGGTCCACTCTTAAGTATCGGTCCAAAAATCCGTATTAAAACCATTCCCGATCTGTTTCAACCACATCTCGTTGAAATTAATGTGAAGAATCCCCAACGATCTCACTGCCAAAATCGCACTGCCCCACGGACTACATCTGCTCGAAGCTCCATGTTCCAAAGAAAAACCACCATTGACCCCATAAATTGATTTAATATTTTCGCCAATGGAGAGTTAAGCTCACTCTTGAATTTCCAGGCCCATTTTGCGAGAAGGGGTAGATTAGAAGCGAAAATACTACCAACGCCAAGACCTCCAATTTCTTGTCTCTAAGCACGGTTCTCCAGTTAATCCAAGCCATTCTTTTATTATCATCTGCGGATCCCTAAAAGAAGTCTCGTCTTAGTTTCTCAAAGGAGTCAATCACCTTCTTGGGAGCTTTGAAAATCGAAAGGTAGTACATTGCGATGCTACCACTGAGCAGTTTAATTATTTATTATAAAAAAATATTCAAGGACTTGGTCATTAGTTCAAATTGAGAAATTTTAATGGTTTTCTCATCTAAAAAATAATTCAATGTCTTAAATATTCAAAATAAGATATTCCCTTTTGGGTTTTCTGAACTTTTCCCTTGTATAAACATACATAGGTACACATTCTTGCAATGTAAAAAGTTAAGTGATCAACGAGAGTGTGACACGTGACACAGCTCACACTCTTCTTAATCCCTCTCGGTTCTCAATGAACACGCCCTTCTTCCAATATAATATAGCTTAAGTAGCTGCATGAACGTCCATAGAAACATATATGAAGATAAAAGGTCATCTTTTAATTGCCGTAATTGAGATGATATCATGAAATCATAACTATTATCACTAATAACTTAATAAGTTGTACAGTATGCAATAAAATATGTTGATGATGGGAATTCCAATCCTGGAAAAATGGCAGTGCATGGAATGGACTGACTATATGGGTGTCGGGGATGAGTGAGTGCTTCTGGTTGGTGTTTACGGCCATGAAGATAAATATAAGAGAATGCAGCCATTTCTGCATGCCCTACTTGCCCACCAATGTGTCCCCAATTTAACTAAATATGTATACATTGCATGCCCCCCCTCCCTCTCTCTCTCTCTCTCTCTCTCTCTCTATATATATATATATATATACATTGCATGCCCCTCTCTCTCTATATATATATACATATATACATACACATGGACTGGAAGATTAATCAAACAAACATAAATATTTTGAGAAATGTGAGAATATAAATATGATGAATACGATCATATGATAGATATTCATGAATATTTAACGACATTCGTTATGAATAATTGGTATTTATGGTTCTCGATACAAGATGATAAATCATCCGTTTTGACTTTTTTTTACAATAATAGAAAGAGGTTTATATAGTAACGTTAAATATTTAAGAGTTCATGGACTAACTATTTTATATAGTATTCATATTACCTTAAATAATAATAAATATAATTTATCATAACACTACGTAAAATAGATAGTTTCTGGGTTCTCAAAATATTTAAGATTTCTAAATGAAATGTATAATTATTAATCTCGACTACAAAATTATGGTTTGGTATGTAATATACCTAATTAACTTGTAATTATTACTCATGTAATGATAACCGTCACGATACCTAAATGCTGTCGAACAAGTAATTTTAGTATGATCTTTGCTCGATTCTAAGTTTAGTCCGATTATCCTCGTAAAATCCTGACCTTCTAGCCTAATTCTTAGCAAACCCATGTACTAAATTCTTTAATCGATATACATATAATTATATAATGTATGAAATACGTATTTACGCAAAATTGATGTTATAGAAATTAGCGTACAGGAAAACAACTTTTGCATGAATGTAGTGGAACTGGAATACTAAGAAATCTCAGTAAATCAGGATGAAAGTGATAGTGAATAAAGAAAACAAATTAAATAAATACCCCATGAAAATGCCAACACGATTTGTCCTCAAATGGGTACGAAATCAACACCATCTCGATCGAATGCTAATCTCTACCGTCTCTAAAAATCTTATTGAAACCGACGAGCCTGCTGATCAGGAGCACAATTTTGTAGCAGCCCATGTCGGCAATCTTCATAGGTTAGCATCATTTGAGGAGGGCATACAAGAGGATCTCCCCAGGTAGGAGTACTTTCTGCAGAAGAGCTAGTACAATTGCTTCCAGTGATGAGGTTATCCAAACCGCCTACCAACCCATGATCAAACTGCTCTAATTGTGTGCTGTTGTAGACCAATTCATTGATCCCAAATGGGTAGTTGTTGAATTCTTGAAACAGATTTAAACCATGATCTCCATTCAGAAGATTGTATGGCGTGTTTTGCAATTGGGGGTGATAAACAGTTGAGATAGGTTTCTCGCTGTTTTGATCGAACAATTGGGGTTGATTTGAGGATGTATCAAAAGGGTACTGATCATCAAAACTTGTGATGGTATCTTGGTTTCTGGCATGAAGTTGTTCTTGATGATTATCATGATCAGGGTTTGTAAGTATCAAATTAGGGAAATCTGTAGTAGGCCAGTAAGATTGATAGAGGTTCATACTCATGCATAAAGCTGGTGCCTTGAAATCTTCAAGAACTTCTCTCTTCATTTCTTGCTTGTTTAGGCCACTTCTCTTTGATAATTGTTGATCTTTACGCTGTTTTCCCAGAAGTTTTTTCTTTAGCCTCGTGTTCCAGTAGTTCTTGATATCATTATCGGTTCGCCCAGGTAATTGTGCAGCAATAATAGACCATCTTCAGAACAAATCAAGAACTTATATAAGTACTATATACATACACTTGCATATTGATCATATATATATATATATAAATCTTCAAATAGGATCTAATCTGTTATGAACCTTTCATAAATAAAGATGAGAATGATCAATTACCGGCTGCCAATACTGAGATAAAGGGTGCAAATGATGTGGTCTTCTTCTTCGGAGAAAGATCCATGCTTGATGTTTGGGCGGAGGTAATTCAACCATCGAAGGCGACAACTCTTGCCACACCTCTTGAGACCTGATCAATTACAATCAAAACTATCGAATTATATAAGATTCATTAAGATCATCGATCGATCTTCTTTGGGTATGATTTTATGTTAGATGGATTAACTAACGAAAAAGATTACCAATCTTATGAGGTAGAGCAATCCAGTTGCCTCCGGTGCCATGTTCTTCGATATAAGATTTGAGTTTGGCATCTTCTTCAGGTGACCATGGTCCTCTTTTGACGTTGGCTTTGTCACAGCAAGGTGCTCTTCCCATTGTAATTATTAGGGTTCTTGATGATGCCCTTTTCCTTCTGCTTCTGCTTCGATCAGTTTGTTGTTGTGGAGTTGTTGGTGTTTGGTTTTATCTCTTTATTCTCATCTACCCATAGCTTTAGGGTACATGATGATGATATATACATATATATATATATATATATAGAGAGAGAGAGAGAGAGAGAGGGAAGTAGCTGGAGAAGAAAGATGGGGGATTAAAGAGAATGATCACTGGATTTTCAAAAAGATGAAGTTGGAAAAAGAGGCATAGAACTTTATGACATTTAATTAATTAATACATTTAATTAATTAATATAATTAATTAATTAGAAATTAAGAGTAATAGAATAAGGAGGCAACCCGGAATGCTACAACTGTTAGCACCAGGTATTTTCTCATTTGTCTTTCTCCCACCTCCAGAATCTCTGTCATTTCGTTTTTATTTTTATATGCACTCATCTCTTTATCCATATAAATCCATTATTTATTGGTTAAAAAGACAGAAATTTACATATTTTACTAAAATATATAATCAATTGCTATATATATCGATGCTACAAGACAAAGAGACTTTATCGATTAAAAAATATCCGTCAAACAGAACCATCATCGGTGGATCTCGTTGCCGGAGAAGTGCGACGCGACAGATTTTCAATCAATAATCCATCGATGATCTGTTACAAATCTCTCGATAAAACCTCTTTGTTTTCTAATGCGATGTTATTAATTTTGAACAAAGTATTGTAGATTAATATAAACTATGATTAAAGATTAAGAAAATTAACGTTTGATAACCTCATGTGCACCCATCTTCACCTACGATATGAACTTTGGGACCATTTCATCATCCATTATTTCAACGTTGTTTGTTTTTTAATATAATAGAATTGTAAAATAGTGTGATTCAATCTTGATTTTAAAGTTGAAAAATCGAATCTTCAATCATGTATTACATTTTGTTCTATGGTTTTAATATAAGGTTTTATATTGTTTTAAGAGAACAACGTAGTTAAAGTGATTATCACTTTTACACAGGAGCAAATTCACCTTCACAATGATGGAGGAAAGGCCCCCACTCAAATGTAAATTTTGTAAAATTTAGTAGGTAAAATTTTGTTTTTTTTCATCGTACGTGTTTAGTTCCTGCCAGTTGTGTTTTAAGGTTCCTCTAGTAGCCTAGTCCATTTTAACGAAACTCATCACTCTCTTGCTTGACAACGTTTTTTTTCCATATATTGTTACCGCTAGTTATTGTAATCATGCTACAATGATAATGTTGGTTGATAATTTTGTTAAATATATCTCAATTTTCTTGCTCTTTTAATTTTATATATGTTGAAACCAATTCATCTAGAAGGAAATTTTATAAATTAAATGATAGTACTTACGATTCGGTTAACCAATATGGTAAAAAAATAATCAAAACCGTAATTTACCTTATTTGTTTAGCTGAAACATTTAACCTGCAAAACAAATAACCCGAAACCCTTTCATTTGGGTGAGTTATTAAGATTTCGGATTTTTTATATTTTAGGATCTCCCAATCACCTAAGTTTCTATATCCGTCACTGGTTTTATATAATAAATGGGCTTATAACTCGTTCTTAATTGATTATGTTATTAGCCCATGCTTAACTAGCCAAGCAGACAAATGACCCTGCATCTTTTTTATCTCTCCCGCATTTTTTTGTATAAGTATTTCAGATTTACGATGAAATTTCAATGAATCTCAAACGTAGATTTTTTTTTATTAACCTGAATATCCAATCCGCTATGCGAGCCGACTAACCCCAGGGAGACCACATGTTTTGCAGATAGCTTGTAGTCACCGTATTTGAACCTCCGTGACCATAAGGGAATTTTTATTCCTCCTTGGATTTGAACCTGGGACCTCCTGGTACTTTTGACCTTTAGAGCCAAGCTCAAACCAATCAAGTACCACCCCTTGTGGTTTAAACGTAGAATTTTAAGTTATATATATGCAGTAATATATATATATATATGTAAATTCTAATATTAATTTTTTTACGAAATAGGTAAATGTTTTATTATTAAATGTATTAGTATGAACATACTCACATATAAATAAGCACTCATAATCAAAAAAATCGATATTGATATCAAATTAAAGATAATAAAACACTTTTTTTTTTATTAATTTGTTTAACTAAAAGCCTAAATATATTTAAGATAGTTTTGATTCTAAAAAATAGGTAAATTTATGAAGTTTATGATCAATTAGTTTTATTTAGTTTAAAAATTAAGTTTAAAGTTGTACATAAACAATAACAGAAATTACAACTTTAAATTTTAAGATAATTGTATTAATAAATTGTATAGATGTTATATAATAAGTAATTTTTAGGGTTTCAAGAAATTATTTAGAATATAGCAAAAATATTTTCTCATCTATATATTCAAAAATCATAATATATCCATTCAAAGATTTCTAGTATGATCTCGTATTGTACATCCAGATGAAGTTTAAGTAATGTAATACCCAAGATCAACAATTTGACCGACAGACAAGAAACTCAAGGATGACTGATAAGAAAAATATACATCAAGAGAGAAATGACCGATGGATCAGAAGAGCGAGTCACAGCTCCAACTTTACAAACAGGAAGAGAATATTTCTAAGCACAAGAGTGGTGCCTGATTGGTTTGAGCTTGGCTCCAAAGGTCAAAAGTAACAGGAGGTCCCAGTTTAAATCCAAGAAGGAATAAAAATCCCTTTGTGACCAAGGAGGTTCAAATGTGGTGACTTCGGGCTATTTGCAAAGCAGGTGGTCGCATTAGGATTAGTCAACTTGCATAGCGGATTTGATATCCAGGTTAATAAAAAAAATATTTCTTTTAATTTCAATAACAACAATTTGTGACATATACATGTTAAATAGACAAAAATGACAATGGAACATATTGAATAAAAAAAGGGTACAAGAAATAAAATATATGCAACTTTAGAGATGACATTTTCATGTGTTAAAATCAATTATGTGATTAAGAGATGTGTTGCACTTGTAAAACATAATTCGAAAAGTCTTGTAAAACAACGTTGGTAATCTTGATAGGCACGTTATCAATAAATCCTGACGTAAGAAGAAGAAAATAGAAGTAAAAGATGGAAAGAGTTTTCTTCTAGAAAACCCTAATTAGTCTCAAATCAAATATTGGTGTACGACAAACCAAGTGTCGTCAAAAGGGGGTCCGCTTCATTGTAATTTAAATTAAATTAAAATATATAAGAAACAATCATCACTAAAACACGGTATAAACAGAAATTGGACCGTTTATTTCCATGGTAAAAAGGATACTGTAACGTCATTTATTGTGACCAAAAGTGGGTCGGCAAATGCAATTGAACGAGGACATTTTAGTTGGTATATAAACATGTAAAACCATTTAAACCCAAGTTTAGAAATATAAAAGTTACCATTTTTATACATTAAAATTTGTTAACGTTATAATATGACAACTATTAAAAGACAAGAACAAATAAACCGATCATTTGAAATTTTCAATCCAAAAGTACTCTCGAAGTTTAAAAAAATTGGAATCGTTTAGGAGCGAAACTTTTTATTTCTATATGAATATGATGTATATTAAACATATATCTTGTCATCTTTTTTCTTGTTGTGATTAGGGTTGGTTTATTGTGTATAACTTATATGAAATTGGATTCGGTTAATCTTTAACGGACATAAATTACAATTTGAAATTTGTGATTAGAGTTGGTTTATTGCGTACACTAGTTTGAGTTCCAAACGGATAGGTAATCAAATGACGAGATTCATATAAAATACGTCAAAATCTTCTTTTTTATCCTCGGCTAATTATATGGTGCAATGAACTAAAACATCCACTACAAAAAATCGGGTTTATAGAATACTCCCAATTTCTAAGTGTCCTAATAGACTTCTTTATAAGACTTAGTTTATAGAACCAAAAAAATAAAGCGTCCTATCTAAAGGCGTTGTAACAAGTTTGTATGATGTGTTTTTGACGTTGTAATAAGTTTTTTAGGACACTTTTAATATAAAACATCTCTTAACAACTTTATAGGACACTATTTGAAAAATTGTCCTATAAAAACAAATGTCGTATAAAAAGTTGAGTTTATAGGACACTTTCTCAAAAGTGTCTTATAAAATTGCTAATTCGATACTTTATATTAAAAATGTCCTAAAAACTTGTTAAGACGCCCAAAAGCGTCATATAAACTTATTACAATACCTTTAGATAGGACGCTTTATATTTTGGTCCTATAAATTAAGTCATATCACTACAACAAAATCGGTTTTTTAGGACACTCCCAAATTCTAAGTGTCCTAATAGACCTCTTTATAGGACTTAATTTATAGGACAAAAAAATAAAGTGTCTTATCTAAAGGTGTTGTAATAAGTTTATATGACGTTTTTTTGATGTCGTAATAAGTTTTTTAGGACACTTTTTAATATAAAACGTCTCATTATCAACTTTATAGGACACTATTTGAAAAATTGTCCTATAAAAACAAATGTCTTATAAAAAAATTGAGTTTATAGAACATTTTCTTAAAAGTGTTCTATAAAGTTGATAATGGTACGCTTTATATTAACAGTGTCCTAAAACACTTATTACGACATCAAAAAACGTCATATAAACTTATTACAACACCTTTAGATATGACACTTTATTTTTTTGGTCCTATAAACTATGTCCTATAAAGAGGTCTATTATGACACTTAGAATTTGGAAGTGTCCTACAAACCCGATTTTGTTGTAGTGTATAAAGTGGTCTATTGTGACACTTTGAGATTGAGGGTGTCCTATAAACTCAATTTTGTTGTAGTGATCGATGATCAAATGCCTGTTCAAGATTTCCATGCGTTTTTCCTTCTCCCGACCGACAAGGTCATTATTTTTTTGTATCGGGTTTGATTCAAAAGAGTTTAATCTATTTATCACGATTTCTTACGTACCTGCAAAGAAAACTACTGTTTCAAACCTCGCTTTTTGAAGTTTACCGAGTAAACGCCTAAAAAAACAAAAAGCAAAAAGGAAGGAGGG